GACTGTAGTTTAAATTCTGAATTATCGATCGATTGACGGCTTGTGTACGTTCTTCCGCGTAGGCCGATCGATGGCCTGCTTAGAGTGCCAGTACATTTCTCTCCTCCCCCCTCCCCTAGACTGGCTCCACCAGACCCTGCCCTCATAACCAGCCTTCTCTTATCAACCCCAACCACCTATTCCCACGACTCACTTGTACGAAATGACGAACACTTTTTAACTTGTACCCCGTTCCCATATAAATGTACTGGCCCAATGAGAAAGTATCGAAGGCGTACATACGCTCGCCAAGTGTTCTTCTGAAATCCAAATCGTTCGATAGAAAGAAAATGTTTCGTATCTCGCACTTCATTGTAAAAGTATAAGTAAGTGAGTTAGAGGGGGATATATTAGCCAAAATGTTAGTAAAATATACAACATGCTCTGAGGCCGAACCCCGGCGCACCATCAAACAGAATTCTGTAATATGTTTTAGAATAGAAAAAAACGTACCTGCATGCAGTTGCAATACCCATGAACATTGAGCATACTCTCAAATGGATTCGCAACCCGCAAGTTAGTGACTAGCGGACAAGAACTTTCTGATCTACTGGTTTTCGTTGCATCATTAAAGTACGCTGACCTGGGTAATATGTAAATCCGCCCATTATTTTCATAAAAGTATTAATTTTATAAGCATCCACTCATTAGGTGGGCCTGGTTGTCATCTGGGGGGATTGTGGGCTGATCGCTTAGGAAACTTGTTTGGGCAATCAACTTTCTGTATCAGAGCTGGTAGATTGCATATGTCGCAGTAAACTGGGCGTATACGTTGTCAGTGAGTATTTGAAACATTTGGCGGATAAATGTGTAGCAAATAAAGATGCAGGAAGAACGACCAACAGACTAGCAGGCGTTTCAACGTTTTTACGTATTGTACTTCTCATTATTTTAGATTTTTTTAAAAATTATTTAAAAAAGGCAATGGTAGTTAGGAGGTCGTCTACTTCAAATTACCTGTGGTGCAACTTAACGTCCTGAAGTTAGTATAGTCCGCGGCGCGAAACGCCAAGCACACCTTCAATTTACATGCGCAATAACTTACATGAAGCCTTGGATGTGTTTTTTTTTCCAGTTTTGGAACCTCTTCACGACAAATAAAAACATTAAAACGCCCGTCAATATCTCGTCAACCCATCTTCAGAGAGTGAATACTCTGGCTTCTGGCTCTCGTTATATGCCGCTCCTTTCGTCCACGGGCGTAGTCTGCCAATCCAGTTCGAGCC